GCTACCTGTAGCTCTGTTCTAGCTTTAGCTCTGTGCTACCTGTAGCTCTGTGCTGCCTATAGCTCTGTGCTAGCTTTAGCTCTGTGCTACCTATAGCTCTGTGCTACCTGTAGCTCTGTGCTACCTGTAGCTCTGTGCTACCTGTAGCTCTGTGCTAGCTGTAGCTCTGTGCTACCTATAGCTCTGTGGTACCTGTAGTTCTGTGCTGCCTGTAGCTCTGTGCTACCTATAGCTCTGTGCTACCTGTAGCTCTGTGCTAGTTTTAGCTCTGTGCTACCTGTAGCTCTGTGCTACCTATAGCTCTGTGCTACCTGTAGCTCTGTGCTACCTATAGCTCTGTGCTACCTGTAGCTCTGTGCTAGCTTTAGCTCTGTGCTACCTATAGCTCTGTCCTACCTGTAGCTCTGTGCTAGCTTTAGCTCTGTGCTACCTGTAGTTCTGTGCTGCCTATAGCTCTGTGCTACCTGTAGCTCTGTGCAACCTATAGCTCTGTGCTACCTGTAGCTCTGTGCTAGCTTTAGCTCTGTGCTACCTATAGCTCTGTGCTACCTGTAGCTCTGTGCTAGCTTTAGCTCTGTGCTACCTGTAGCTCTGTGCTGCCTATAGCTCTGTGCTACCTGTAGCTCTGTGCTACCTGTAGCTCTGTGCTACCTATAGCTCTGTGCTACCTGTAGCTCTGTGCTGCCTATAGCTCTGTGCTAGCTTTAACTCTGTGCTACCTATAGCTCTGTGCTACCTGTAGCTCTGTGCTACCTGTAGCTCTGTGCTACCTGTAGCTCTGTGCTAGCTGTAGCTCTGTGCTACCTATAGCTCTGTGGTACCTGTAGCTCTGTGCTGCCTGTAGCTCTGTGCTACCTATAGCTCTGTGCTACCTGTAGCTCTGTGCTAGTTTTAGCTCTGTGCTACCTGTAGCTCTGTGCTACCTATAGCTCTGTGCTACCTGTAGCTCTGTGCTAGCTTTAGCTCTGTGCTACCTATAGCTCTGTCCTACCTGTAGCTCTGTGCTAGCTTTAGCTCTGTGCTACCTGTAGTTCTGTGCTGCCTATAGCTCTGTGCTACCTGTAGCTCTGTGCAACCTATAGCTCTGTGCTACCTGTAGCTCTGTGCTAGCTTTAGCTCTGTGCTACCTATAGCTCTGTGCTACCTGTAGCTCTGTGCTAGCTTTAGCTCTGTGCTACCTGTAGCTCTGTGCTGCCTATAGCTCTGTGCTACCTGTAGCTCTGTGCTACCTGTAGCTCTGTGCTACCTATAGCTCTGTGCTACCTGTAGCTCTGTGCTACCTATAGCTCTGTGCTACCTGTAGCTCTGTGCTAGCTTTAGCTCTGTGCTACCTGTAGCTCTGTGCTGCCTATAGCTCTGTGCTACCTGTAGCTCTGTGCTACCTGTAGCTCTGTGCTACCTATAGCTCTGTGCTACCTGTAGCTCTGTGCTAGCTTTAGCTCTGTGCTACCTGTAGCTCTTTGCTACCTGTAGCTCTGTGCTACCTGTAGCTCTGTGCTACCTGTAGCTCTTTGCTACCTGTAGCTCTGTGCTACCTGTAGCTCTGTGCTACCTATAGCTCTGTGCTACCTGTAGCTCTGTGCTACCTGTAGCTCTGTGCTACCTATAGCTCTGTGCTACCTGTAGCTCTTTGCTACCTGTAGCTCTGTGCTACCTATAGCTCTGTGTTACCTGTAGCTCTGTGCTACCTATAGCTCTGTCCTACCTGTAGCTCTGTGCTAGCTTTAGCTCTGTGCTACCTGTAGTTCTGTGCTGCCTATAGCTCTGTGCTACCTGTAGCTCTGTGCAACCTATAGCTCTGTGCTACCTGTAGCTCTGTGCTAGCTTTAGCTCTGTGCTACCTATAGCTCTGTGCTACCTGTAGCTCTGTGCTAGCTTTAGCTCTGTGCTACCTGTAGCTCTGTGCTGCCTATAGCTCTGTGCTACCTGTAGCTCTGTGCTACCTGTAGCTCTGTGCTACCTATAGCTCTGTGCTACCTGTAGCTCTGTGCTACCTATAGCTCTGTGCTACCTGTAGCTCTGTGCTAGCTTTAGCTCTGTGCTACCTGTAGCTCTGTGCTGCCTATAGCTCTGTGCTACCTGTAGCTCTGTGCTACCTGTAGCTCTGTGCTACCTATAGCTCTGTGCTACCTGTAGCTCTGTGCTAGCTTTAGCTCTGTGCTACCTGTAGCTCTTTGCTACCTGTAGCTCTGTGCTACCTGTAGCTCTGTGCTACCTGTAGCTCTTTGCTACCTGTAGCTCTGTGCTACCTGTAGCTCTGTGCTACCTATAGCTCTGTGCTACCTGTAGCTCTGTGCTACCTGTAGCTCTGTGCTACCTATAGCTCTGTGCTACCTGTAGCTCTGTGCTACCTGTAGCTCTGTGCTACCTATAGCTCTGTGCTACCTGTAGCTCTGTGCTAGCTTTAGCTCTGTGCTACCTGTAGCTCTGTGCTGCCTATAGCTCTGTGCTACCTGTAGCTCTGTGCTAGCTTTAGCTCTGTGCTACCTGTAGCTCTGTGCTGCCTATAGCTCTGTGCTACCTGTAGCTCTGTGCTGCCTATTGCTCTGTGCTACCTGTAGCTCTGTGCTGCCTATAGCTCTGTGCTAGCTTTAGCTCTGTGCTACCTGTAGCTCTGTGCTACCTATAGCTCTGTGCTACCTGTAGCTCTGTGCTACCTGTAGCTCTGTGCTACCTATAGCTCTGTGCTACCTGTAGCTCTGTGCTAGCTGTAGCTCTGTGCTACCTATAGCTCTGTGCTAGCTGTAGCTCTGTGCTAGCTGTAGCTCTGTGCTGCCAGTAATTTTGGAATCAAGTATGTACAATTATATCATTCCAGATTTTGCAGGCAGAATTTATTTTTTTTTTAAATACAATAAGTCCTCTTCTTTATCAGTGAGTCTAATTATCGAATAATATTGCAGTCATTAAATTGGTTAGTTTTTACCTCCATCATCAGTTCCTGGTTTATCTTTCCTCTCATCGTCTCTTCTTTGGGAAACACGAGTTTGTGGTGAATTTCGAGGATTTCAGTAAAACCAAATTGATCCCTGGAGTTTTTGATCTGATTGGTTAAACTGACAGGAAGGAGGATCATCAGAGGTGCAAAACTCGGAACTGGACTGAAGATCAGTCCAGTTTCGGAGATCTGAGCTGTTAGTAAATGACCGGCCACTGGGGGCGCTAGACCATCCGGACTGAAATCATATTTCTGATCCTGATATTTTAACATTTCTCATAACAAACAGAAGTTACAAAGTTTCAGCTAAAGAGCTGAAGATGACCCGGAAATACCAAGGATTCTGCAGAACCGGACCGGGTGGAGGTGAGACATGAACCAGAGAATATGTGACCCGTTTTCATTCCAAACCAGATTCTGCTCTCTGTGTTTGTTTGGACCTCAGACGGAACCATTTCCTGGTCGGTTCCCGTTCAGCTCCGGACTTCTCTGCATCTCAACATGTGAGTTTGTTTCTGGGTCCGTTTGGACCTCCAGATTCTGGTGGTCCAGGTGAAGCTCACCTGCCCTCCACTTTTCTTCTTCTTGATTATCTCTGAACGTTGCCGCGTTTGGCAAACGCCACTGCCCCCTCCTGGGGGTTGTGTGAATTAATACCTGAATCCAGAAATAGAAGAGATAGATTCTGCCATAAATTCACATTTTACCAATATTGTTGTCATTTGTGACGATAAACAATAACTAATAGCGTCTATTGCTGAGTAATGATCAGATAGGCTTTTATTATTTCAGTTCATAACCATCAAGAATAAGCTAATCTAATCAAACCAATCAGAAACATTCTGTGATTGATTCTGTGATTGATGGAGATGGAAATGGTGGTGTGCGATCAGGATGTTTATGACGCTGCGTATGGAGCTATGAGTTTGTTCCAGTGGCAGGTTTTGCCTCGCCGTGCATTTCGTCTCCTCTGGCCTGAAAACGAAAGGCGAACAGATTGAGTGGAGCAGAAACTCCTGGCCCAGTTCGGGTCGGGCTCACTGGCACCGAGGACGAAGAGGATGGAAATGGGTCCATGGGGCTTGGCCTAGTCAAAGGCTTGTGATGCGGTTTGTTAGTTTGAGACGAGTGAATAAATGTTTTAGTTTATTCACTCTGATTGATATCAGAGTGAATCTAATTGATCTGATATCAATGTAATAAAAACACTTCAACAGAAAAATGATTTGTTTTCTCAACAGCAGAATAAAGATTATTAATTGATTATTGATTTAGGCTGAGCAGCTCAACGTGATTATTATTCCTCACATGTACTGATGAATAAGTCCAAATGATTCTCCTGTTAATGATTTATGATAAAAGTCTTATTGCCCTCCTGACCGGCGATCAGATATTAAAGTGGCTTGTTGATGATATTTACCTTAAATACTTTTTTTCATTCCTGCTTTTTGGAAACCTGGTGAGCCGAACGACTCGGAGCCAAGAAACTCAGACATCCGAGTCAGAAAACAATCAAACCTGGAGAACGGTGAAGCGGCGAGTTCTTCCAGAACCTGAAGAACATCTGAGGAACGATGGTTTTTAAAAAGCTAAATTAAATCTATTTAATTTAGCTTTCTGTTAATGCAAAGATGAGTAATCATCTGAGTCTCAGCAGCCATAATTTAATAATCTGTGTTCTGTAAACACTGGTTTTATTTCCATTCTGCATTTCTCCATCTGAAGCTTCAAATAGTGAAGGACAGATTGAGAACTTGTTGTTTTTGGTTGTTTCACAGACGCAGCATGACATCGATATGTTCACAATGACCCATAAGCTCAGCGCGCGGTGACGTTTCAGTTTAATGAAACTGATGAAGAAAAACAGGATCTGAGGAAATAAAACGTTTTCATTTCTTCAGTTTCAGTGAAAATGTCGACCTGATGTTTTATTATTGTCCTGAAATCTTTTCAGACTTCATGATGCCGACGTTTCTGATTCAGTAAATAAAAAATTAAACGTTTCACAAAAACTCAGGAGAGATAAAATGAGTTTATTATTATTTTTCATTCTGACATAAAAGATTAACAATAATAAAGTTCAAATCACAGCAAAGCTGAAGTCAGATTGAAGCTTCAACCGTTTCAGATGTGAAGAACATCAAGGAGCTGCAGACCTGGACCCGGTTTGGGTCCGACCCGAAGAATGAACCATCCATCCTGCTCCGACTGGCGCCCCCTGGTGGACCGTTACCAGCTGAGGTCAGAGGTCAGCCTCCTGCTGCTTTCCATCTTCATCCCTGATGACAGGAGGAGGAAACAACCTGGTTACCAATGGCAACGCAGGAAAAATCAGCATGCTGGGTCCTGGTTCTGTCCGTCACCTGCAGCTTTACTTCACAGACCCAGGAGTTCTGGATTCCACAGGGAACGTCATTCCAGTTGTTTTCCATGTCAAAATGTCGGATTTCACCACAGTCTTCATCTGTGTCTTCATGGTTGTTTGGCTCCTAGAAACTGCAAATAAAAACAAGAACTTTTGTCCTTTAGACGCAGCGAGAAACTGCAGCTCACTGGAAACATCTTGGTGCTGAAATATGATTTCTTTGTCAATATTAAGGAATTATTTACTCAGAACAAGCAGATATTTCTTGTCAAAAAGTTACTTGTACCTTAGTTTTGTCTTATTTAGACCAAAAATACCTTTGAGTTTTTGCAGTGCACTAATTTTCATCTTTGTTTAGATTAAGATTTTATCTAAACAATAAAAATCAACCTTAGTTGATGAAAATTAGTCTTTGTTTTCAGAGCATTTTATTCACCACAAAGTTCTTTAACCAGATAAAAACAGGAGAAAATAAAACAAAAATATTCTGCTAAAATTAAAATACACAAAATAGTGTCTTCAAAACATAATGTTGCTCCACAGAATAAGGTAAATTTTAAATGAACCATGGATATGAAAATAATAATAAATCAGTTTAAACACTTGGTACAAATGTTAAATTATGTCAGTCACCAAATTAGTGGTGAATTTGCAGGTAATTGTTTAAGTATGGAAATATGGTGTTGCATTTCTGCTTAGAAAGTTTGTAAATGGAACAAAACAGATGTAATAAAATAATTATAAAATATGTAAAGTAAACTGAAATCGCTTTACATCTACCTATGAAACTGAACTCAGGTTAAAGTATGAGTGACTCCATATCAACTCGTGACTTAATATCATGAACCAATATGTATTAATTTATAATTTTCATTAACTTCAAGATAAACACTTTAGTGTCTCAGATTCTTCCAAAAGAGGCCTGAATAATGAGATCAGATTTTATTGAGATCAACCAGCCTGTCGTCGGGTCACTCATCTCACCAATCTGGACCTGCTGGACCTCTAACCTCTGACCTGGGGTTGAGTCGAGTCCCGTCCACCCATTCCATTCTCCGGCCTTTCATCAGTCCGATCCAAACTTTGTGTCTCAACCGTCTCAGGAAGTTCTGCTCTTCTCTGCTGTTGATGGTCACCAGGTCGGCTCCTCTTCCCAGACAATAGTTTCTGCTTTTATTCCATGTTGTCATGGTGGAGGAAATGTAGTAGATGCTTGGACAAAATGTCACCAACTGTTGTTTGAAGGAACTGGGCACTGGAAGAAAAGACAGAACCAAAACCACTGATTGTCTGGATTGTCTCTCCATCAAAAGTTACATTTTCAGTGAAACTGTGCTCTATTTTATGCTTTCAGCCATCTGGTGCCCGACTACCACTCAGAGCTCATCAAACATGAAGGACTTTGATGCAAACAGGACTAAAAGAAAGTTAGAGGCCCATTCAGAGGCCCATCTTGAAATGGGCCTCTGTCTCTTTAAGAAACTCCTGTTCTGTCTGAAGCTCCGCCTCCAGGAAGTCATCAGAACAAGGCTCTTCTATTCACCTTTATCGTTTTTAGCAGTGTTGCTCTGTGAAGTAGCTCCTATAAACAGCTGATTGCTGAAATGAAATAAAAGTTTCATTTCTAGTTTGACCAGGATTCAAACCTGTTCTCAAGTTGCAGAGTTTTATTTTATTTTCTTTGTTTATATTGGTAGTCAAAGGGACAGCAGGAAGTGGGGGTTTTGTTTTGGCCAGGCTGAAAGACTTCCTGCTGGATTTCTTCCTCTCTGTACTTTCATGTGGAGAATTCTTTGTATGGAAATGAATTGCAAAGCTGCAGTCCAGCTGGTTGGCACTACAATAACTGCACTATTGCAGGACAAGTAAAAATATGTATTGTGAAGCTATGCTGCTGAGCCACAGTCAAGTGTCTGTACATGAAAGCCGTTAAAGTTTATGAAATTTGTTCAAACACACATTGAGGAGAAATGAAGGACATCTTGAGTGAGATTTGAGTTTCTGTGGATTTGGCTCCACCTTGTGGCCAAACAGAGCATCGAGAGTCTCATTTTAACAGGCGATTCAAAAGGTCCAGAAATGTTGTAGTTTAAGCTAAAAATCAGGAAACAGGAAAACCAAACCTGTTTGTGTTTCTTGCATCAGTAAAAGCATTTAGTTTGTTTGATTCGCTGCTGATCGATCAACAAACTCAGATTCAAACCAAACTGTGAAGAATGACTGAAACTGTGACAGCAGCTTAGTGCGGATTTGAAAAGGACTTTGGAAGATGCAGATATTTATGTTTAACATTAAATGAGCGATAAAAACATAGAGAGGATGAAAGAGCAATTGAGAAAACTTTGAGCTCATTTGGATGGATTTTTAAAAATGTTTTGAAAGTTTGAAGGTCAAATGAAACATTTTTCACATTTTTGTAGATGACCTTCAACCTGCCGTCTCCATATTAAACACATAAAGCCTGAGGCATAAAGCCATGTGCAGTTTGGCAGAAAGCCCATCAAATTTACAGCGCCACATAGTGGTGGACTTTGATAAGAACGAGCTGAACATGATTGATATCCTGCTGGAAATGATTCCTTTATTTCTATTTAGCCCAGAAAAGGTGCTGCAGGTTATGTGCTGCAGGTTATGTGCTGCAGGTTATGTGCTGCAGGTTATGTGCTGCAGGTTATGTGCTGCAGGTTATGTGCTGCAGGTTATGTGCTGCAGATTATGTGCTGCAGATTATGTGCTGCAGGTTATGTGCTGCAGTTATGTGCTGCAGGTTATGTGCTGCAGGTTATGTGCTGCAGGTTATGTGCTGCAGATTATGTGCTGCAGATTATGTGCTGCAGGTTATGTGCTGCAGGTTATGTGCTGCAGGTTATGTGCTGCAGGTTATGTGCTGCAGGTTATGTGCTGCAGGTTATGTGCTGCAGATTATGTGCTGCAGGTTATGTGCTGCAGGTTATGTGCTGCAGGTTATGTGCTGCAGATTATGTGCTGCAGGTTATGTGCTGCAGGTTATGTGCTGCAGGTTATGTGCTGCAGGTTATGTGCTGCAGGTTATGTGCTGCAGGTTATGTGCTGCAGATTATGTGCTGCAGGTTATGTGCTGCAGGTTATGTGCTGCAGATTATGTGCTGCAGATTATGTGCTGCAGATTATGTGCTGCAGGTTATGTGCTGCAGGTTATGTGCTGCAGGTTATGTGCTGCAGGTTATGCTGCAGGTATGTCTGCGTTACCATGCCAAGCTCTCTGTTTGCAGACAGGTGTCTCATTCTCTGAGGGATTCTGGTCCCACAAACTCACAGGCTCTTAAATCCACTTCCGGGTTTTCTGCCTCGCCGCCATAAACACAGAAAAGCCTTTTCATCTGTTGGATCCGAGCCGTTCGGGCTGCAGGCGTCTCAGCAGGTTGTGAGGTCTGGTTCTGGTCGGGTCCAGTCAGGTTCTTGTCAGGGTGACAGGAACAATCTGCGGTGTACAAAGTCAGTTTATTCTCACAAACATGAAACGGCGCTGACGGCTGCATGGTGTATTATGTTTCTATTGATTTCTCTTTGCTAATCGTTTCGTTCCAATATGTCTGAAATGTCTGGATGTTCTCACCTGATGAGGCTTTTAACAGCCGACAGATTCAACAACATGACTTCATGTCACAGAACAAATTCATCTTGAAACAAAAAGATACAGAAATATAGAAAAAGATTGGATTTCAATGATTGTTATAAGTTTTTATCAACATCCTGACGGTGAATCCAGCCGACCTGTTGAAGAACTTTATTCCATCCTGGAAGCCGAATTTAATTACACAAAGAAACTCCCAGGATGTTTCCTTTCCTGCAAGATTGACTTTATCAAATCAAACGAGTTCGGCCTCCTTCATGTGTGACCTTCAGCTGGATCTGCTGGATCTGCTGGATCTGCTGGATCTGCTGGATCTGGCAACCCGAATCCAAATGTTTCCAGCAGAACCATCTGCTGTTAGGCTGCAATTTGACTGGGAAATGGACCAAACCAAGAAAATGTTTCTCCAGCCTTGCTGACCACTCAACGCTCACCTGTTCTCTCACACATTCATCCAGCCACACAGATCTGGAGGCAGCCGGGGGTCAGTGCCTTGCTCACAGGCACATCAGCATGCAGCTGGAGGAAAGCCGGAACCAAACCCAAGTTTTCTGATTTTCTGATGACCAGGAAGCCATGCAGACAGGAAGTTGAAGTGAACTCACAGGAAGTCAGACGCAGTGAGATGTTGAGGGCAGATTGGAGGAGGCAGAGGAAACCGAAGCTCAGGAGCAGCAGAGGGAAAAGTTTTCCTCCTGCAAGAAGGAAAGAGAAACATTAGAAAACATCAGATATTCTGGGTTTTATTGATTGTGATTGATTGTGTGTTTCTTCTGCAGAGCATCCTGCCGGGCATGGAACCAGCAGCTTCTTCAGCCTCTCTGCTGGAGTCCAGTTTCTGTCCCGCCTGTCGTTCCTGCTGCCAGTTTTCTGATCTTGGTTGTTTCTGTGTATTTTGTGTTTCAAGGTCTGAGACCCTGCCGCAGCTTCCTCCTGCTGCAGCTTCCTCCTGCTGCAGCCTCCTCCTGCTGCAGCCGCCTCCTGCTGCAGCCTCCTCCTGCTGCAGCCTCCTCCTGCTGCAGCCTCCTCCTGCTGCAGCCTCCTCCTGCTGCTGCAGCCTCCTGCCGGTTCAGGATGCTCGGGAAGCAATTTCATTTTTTGTTTTGGGGCCTAATATTCCCGGCGGCGCCGCCGCTCCCATCATGGCTGCAGTCGACTGTGTGTGTTCACAGACTGAGGAAGTTTTTGCGTTCCTCTCAGTGAAGATGTCAGTGAGAACAGGAAGGATTTCTGCTGCTGTCATGTTCAGACCTACATGTGGTTATTAACTGATGGAGCAACAGCAGCAAACCGCAGAACGGACCTTAGAACATTTTCAAATGTGAAGTTTGTCCATAAACATTAATGCTGTCATCAATAGATAATCTGGGATTATTTTACCCACCTGGATTCTTCTTTAAATCTCTGCTGTTTGCTGCTGCTGCAGGTTCTTCATGTTCCTCTGACATCTGAAACGTCTCCATGTTTGGCTGACAGCTGGAACCTTCGGGTTCGGATCAGAGGAATCGCCTCCTTCAGACTCTCTTTGTGTTTCCAACCTTTTTATGGCGCTTGATTTTTCAATTCAGCAGGAAAAGGAAGGACAACATAAATCGACGTATAAACAGCTTACAACAAATTAAATTAAGAAAATGTGTTTAAGAAAGACCTTCATCTACATTTCAACAACATACAATCAGGAAATAAGGAGGCTCAGCTTGATGTAATTTCCTGTTTATAGTTTTAAATATTCATCTTCCTCTTTTTGTTTTAAAGCTGAAAAAAGTTTCTAATATTTCTGTGAAATTCTCATGAGGAGAGAAGTGTTGATAAACCAAACTGTCTAGTAAAAACAAAGTTCTGGACTTACAGACGATGAAGATGTGGTTCTGATCCAGGGTCCAAACGGAGGAGGAAGCTCTGATGCGTCTGGTTCCTCCTCAGTCTGAAGCCAAATGACTGACGGTTCCGGTTCTGCTGAGCTGATCGGATCAGAGACCTCAGGACTTTAACTTCAGTCTCAAATTAATTCAGTTTCTGTTTTCCATCTCAGACTGAGGAACTTGTTGGTTTATAAATCACTGAACGGGTCGGAACCATTAAACATCTTAGATGGTTTTGTAAACTGGATTTAACGATGGTTCTTGACCTGCTGAACTTTGACCCATCAGGACCTCCATTCATCCATCAGAGGTCATGACAGATGTCATGTTAACGACAGTCTTTCAGTGAAGTGTCAGCTCGTTTCAACTCACTTCTCTGCTCAGACAGAAACAGTAGAAATAGCAGCTTGTGTCCAGCAGGTGGCGCTGGAGCAAGTGAAGGATTCCTGTTAATCCTGCAGATAATCTGAGGTTCTGCTTCCTGTTCAGGCAGAACCAGAGAGTCAGTCTGCTGCTCGGCTCATAAGTATTCATACCTCAGATCAACCTTTACATCAACTGGACATGAAAGGCAGGAAAAGCCAAACCCAGAAATCAAAAAGATTCAAATCTGAAAGTTTCAGATTTCAAGAATAATTGAAAAAAAAATCTTTAGCACAAAACCGTCTTCAGCCAGGGGTATGAATAATTCTGACCCAAACTTTTTCCCCAATGCAGTTTCCAGGTTCTGCCAGCAGGGGGCAGGGGAGCTCAGTCCTGCCAGATGCTTCGCTGCGCCAACATGGATCCGGTTCCGGCGCTGTTTGAATCAAATGAACGACTCGTTACCTGTTCATCGCGGAGCCTGGTCTGCTGGAGTAAGACTGAAACTAAAAGTTGCAGGACGGAAGCTCTCCAGGACTGGACTTGAGCTCCCCCGTTTCTGGCCACTTTATTAGGTATAGGTGTTCTAGTGCCGAACCGGAATCAGCCAATCAGAGCGCAGCAGCTGAATGTTTATTTTGTAAACATTTGGGTCAAAATGTTTTAACTGCGGCTGTTTAAGTTGATCCGGTACCAAAACCGCCTGGGCTCACTCCGGATCATAACGGATCCGGCCTCTGCAGAATCTGATTCACATCTTTGCAGGTTAAAGTTCTGCAGAGACTCTTTCTCCCCGGAGACCCTGAACGCCTCACGGCCTGCGGCAGAACCGAGTCAGAACCAGCAGACCGGACCTTTTCACAGCCAGGGTCAACATTTATTGGATCATTAAAACACCATCTTACAGTGAACATCTATTAAAATATTTTCTATTTACAGCAGGCCAGCCCAGCAGAGCTGCGGTCCAGTCAAAGGCCGAACATCTCCTGGAGGCGTAGGTCATGTAGAGGAAGCCGTCGTCGTCCTGGTGGTCTTTGTAGACCTGAGCCATGGTGAGCGACAGAGTGGCCAGACTCTTTCTGTTGATGAACAGGTTGAAGGTCTGGTTGTGCAGCAGCGCCATCCGGTTCCTGGAGGGGAAACAGAACCATCAAACAGAACCTCTCCTGCTACCGGGTCAGAACCAGCTTTCATCACCTGAGATTTCACTGAAGTTTGAGTCACACAGCTCAGTCCGGCAGAACCTGGACCAGAACCAGACCCGGTTCAGATTGGTTGGGTTTCAGCAGTTTTTAGATGAGCCACAGGAACAAAACGCAGGAATGGACCCAGACCGGTTCCGTTCTACTGCGACCCAGACCGGTTCCGTTCTACTGCGACCCAGACCGGTTCCGTTCTACTGCGACCCAGACCGGTTCCGTTCTACTGCGACCCAGACCGGTTCCGTTCTACTGCGACCCAGACCGGTTCTGTAGCTCAGGTAAACAGAAGTCTGGAAAGAAACAAGTCGACCCGACAGCAGCAGAACTGGACCCAGAACCAGACGGTCCGATCCGGTCCAGTCAGAGGATTGATTTGAGGTCCAGACGGCAGAAAGCAGAGATCGACCAGGTCAAAGGTCACCCAGGGGTCAGACTAATGAGTGATTTTCAGGAATTATGCAGATCCCTCAGTGCCGAACCAGACTCCATCAGAACCGGCTGGGTTTCCGAACCAGTTCCAGAACCGGTTCCGCGTACCTGATGATGGTGACGAACTGGGTCATGGTGAGTTCGTGCGGAACCAGGAACTTGGTTTTGTCCAGAGGCGGAAGGTTTTTCTCCTTGTCGTATCGCTCGATGATCACCTGAAGTTCAGAGGAACCAGGTGAGTCCAAACAGAACCAGCTCCAGGACCACGGCCGAACCGGACACTCACCGGGATCTTGTTCGGGAATTTGGACCGGATCCCCGCCACCTCCATCTTCCTGGTCTCTGCGGAGAGAAAACAGAATCCGAATCAGTTTTTCCTTCAGAGTTCTGGATCCCCGGTTCCGGTTCTGAGACCCACCGAAGCTCTTGCGCTGTTTGAAGGGTTTGTTCTGCTGCGCGGTTCGGTCGTGCGGAGACATGCTGGGTCTGGACCGAACCGCCGCCCAGCCGCCTTTAAATACAAGCGGCTGCAGCGCATTAGCTGATTAGCGCGTCTATTGATTAGCGCGTCTATTGATTAGCGCGGCTGCTGATTGAGCAGATCAATGGGCCCCGCAGGGCCGGTCAGAGGCCAGCGAGGGCCCGAGGAGCCCTGGACAAGGTTTAAAGTTTTTTTTTTTTATTAAATCAGAAACCATAATTTAACTCCTCATGATAATTTCAAGCCTCGTTTCGTCACTTCCTGTTTGCGTTTATTCACTGATTGAAACGTTTCACAGCAGTTGGAAGATCTGGACCAATGGCAGCTTTTTATGACTTAAATATGTGACTGAAATTTGATTTAATTCAATTTATTTGTTTTACATGAGGACCAGTTTGTCTCTTTAACAAATGATGAAACTGAACAGAACAAAACGGAAGAGAGAAGAACAGGAAGGATGAGCCGGAAACCGGGTTTCCGGTTCTGGTCCTGATGACGGGACGAGAAAATAAAAATATTAAGAAGCTTTTTGGTAAAACTGTGAAAAAATACAACAGAATAAGATAAACAGATATTTATATTCAATTCAAACAGCAAAAGGTTTTTAATAAAACAAAAATTTAATTAAATTAATAATTAATAGAAGCAAATACCTGCAAATTTTAAAAAGTATTTCAGCCAGAGTTTTAAAAAGTTATAAGTATTTAAAATCAGCAATAAAACTAATTAGCATGAGAAAAATAAGTAAAAAGCCTCTTAATTTATTATTATTATTATTATTATTATTATTATTATTATTATTATTATTATTATTAAAACTCCCATCAGATCCAGATTTCATTTCCCAAAAGGGAAAATCAGCAATAAAACAAATGATAAAATCATTTAAAATCAATAATCAATAGAATCCAGTTTTCTTGTTTTCACTCAGATAATTTCTGAGTATTTATTGACAGAACCATCGAATCCAACTGGACCCGCCTTCCTTCCAGAACCACAGCAAGTTCTGGTTCTGGATGTTCTAACAGAACATCTGAGGATCAAAGTTCAACATCAGAACCTCTCAGTTGGTTCTGATCCTGAAGAGATGGACTTTTCTGACCCGGTTCTACTAGAACCCTGAACATGATGAAGAAGCTTCCTCTTCATCACTGAGTCCAGAACCGGATCCGACAGGAACGTTTGAAAGTCTGGAGAACTTTTACAGAACGTCAGAGGCTGAAACTGGAAAAAATAAAGTTTTTTCCAGAACCAGACGGTCCGATCCGGTCCAGTCAGAGGATTGATTTATTGAGGTCCAGACGGCAGAAAGCAGAGATCGACCAGGTCAAAGGTCACCCAGGGGTCAGAACAGGACCGGTTTGAGCTGGCAGGACCATGGGGTCAGACTAATGACCCCACACCTCAGAACACGATTACCTTCGTATTTCAGTAATGAAGGCACCATTAACACGGCTGCTTAATCATTAACAAAGCCTGCAAGTAAAACTGCAAACAGTTCAGTCAGTTCCTGGTCCAGTTCCTGAGAACTGGACCATCATCATCCTCATCATACACATCATCATCATCACCATCATCATCGTCGTCCTGTCTGATCCGTTCATGTCGGAACCGATTCGACAGGACGTTTGGGTCGGTTCTGGTCTGTGGGTGGCAGATAAACCAGAACCTCTGGTAAAGTCCAAACCAAAGTCCAGATGAAGCTGATAACAGAACCGCTGAGTTTTCAGCTGATTATTGATCAGAAGTGGTTTTGATTGGAGCTGCATTCCCAGCAGCTGCAGATCAATAATCATCATCGATTCTGAGGGTCAGCAGCGCCACCATCAGATCACACATAGAACTTCCACCATTAATTTGTTTCATATCTGAAGGTTTAATGAAAACAACAGTGTTGTATAAAGTACTGAAATCTCAGAGTCCAGTGAAAGTATCGGTACCGCTCCAAAATATGACTTTATTAAAAGTAAAGTCACTGAAACGTTACTTGAGTTAAAGTCTTAAAGTGTCTGAAACGTCTTGTACTTAAGTCTGAAAATTACTGTAACAATGGATGAACTCAAGTAATGTAATGAAAAGTAAAAGTAAAACAAGGCAAATGCAGTTTGAATGATATTTTTATATTTTGGTAAACTTGTTAAATACACTTAAAATAATGAACACAACCAAGAGCAGGCAAAATGAAACCTGCTAATAGATAAACCTGCAGCATCATTTAGTTAAGAACATTAGATGCTTTATCTAAACCACAAGGTTAACTTAACCTGCTTTAGATTAACTTAACCTGCTTTAGGTAAACTTAACCTGCTTTAGATTAACTTAACCTGCTTTTGGTAAACTTGACCTGCTTTAGGTTAACTTAACCTGTTTTAAGTTAACTTGACCTGCTTTAGGTTAACTTAACCTGCTTTACAAATATCATATTTATATAAAAATGTTTTCAAAACATTTTTATATAAATATGATATTTTATCAGCCTCATATTTATTTATACTTTATTTATTTATTCTAACCCTGACTTCCGGTGTTTTACTATTTTTATTTTATTATTTCAGATTATTAAATAATATTTTCCTGAAAGAAGAGAAACTGGGCCGATCAGCTGCAGCAGCCAATCACCTGAAGGGATTGACTGACGTCATCACACAGGTGAGTCGAATTGCTGCAGACGGGAACTAAGTGAATATGCCTTCAAAATAAAAGCCTGAGCGAGGCCTGGTCCAATCCGAGGACTCTGATTGGCTCTGAGCTGCCAGGTGTTTGTGGACCACCAGGATCCGACCGGAAGGAGTTCTGGGATCGACTCGTGTTCCTGGTCCTGGTCTGAAAATCTTCCTTCATCAGAAATAAATCCTGTGGAGCTTCGGCCAGGAGACGTTTGTGATTGACATCTGAAAGCTCCGGAGGACAATTCTGGCTTTTACTGACATTTCCTGGTGTTTTATTTTTCTGCCTCTTTGTAAAGGAGGTTTTTAATCTAAACGGGATAAATGAAAAGTGAAATAAAACTAAAATATCTGGTCTAACTCTTCATCCAGTTGGATCGCCTTCAGGTCTCCATCTTCCTCAACTTTATTATTCTCATCCTTCAAAGATGATTTTATATTTCCAGTCAGTATTTGTGGCGCTGTCAGATTTCATGTTTCATGTTTGTTAAAGATCCACTGACTTCCTGATTATCATTGAAACAAGCATGAGAATGACCTCTGACCCTTTAGGGCCTGCAGTTTCAGAGACAAAGAAGGCGTTAAAGCAGCAACACGTTTCCCCCTGAAGCCAAAAGTTTCTGCTTTTATAAACTCTGCTGGGATCGTTTTGATGCATCATTCATCTAAAAACTGAAGAAATATGTCCCAAAAACACGACGTGTGAATATTGACGTATTTTAGAGCAACAGTCAAAATAAACCTGGAGTAGACCCACTGGACCCACTGGACCCACTGGACCCACTGGGACCCACTGGACCCACTGGACCCACTGGACCCGCTGGGACCCACTGGGACCCACTGGACCCACTGGACCCACTGGACCCACTGGGACCCACTGGGACCCACTGGACCCACTGGGACCCGCTGGACCCGCTGGGACCCACTGGACCCACTAGACCCACTGGACCCACTGGACCCACTGGGACCCACTGGACCCACTGGACCCACTGGACCCACTGGGACCCACTGGACCCACTGGGACCCACTGGACCCACTGGACCCGCTGGACCCACTGGACCCACTGGGACCCACTGGACCCACTGGACCCACTGGGACCCACTGGGACCCACTGGACCCGCTGGACCCACTGGACCCGCTGGACCCACTGGACCCACTGGACCCACTGGACCCACTGGGACCCACTGGGACCCACTGGACCCATTGGACCCGCTGGGACCCACTGGACCCGCTGGGACCCACTGGACCCATTGGACCCGCTGGGACCCACTGGACCCACTGGACCCACTGGACCCACTGGGACCCACTGGACCCACTGGACCCACTGGGCCTGCAGGGCTTGCAGACAGTCAGATCCACCTGAAGATCTGACCATCATCATCATCATCATCATCATCATCATCATCATCATCATCATCTCCTGTCTGAATTTCACTCTCCTCTCATTTCCAGTTTCTAATGTGAGCAGCTGAGTTTCTTTTAATGTGAAAAAAAATGCAGTTTTATAATTACAATGTTTCCATTAAATAAGGAATGAAGTTAAAATCACAGATTGCCCATTAAAATCAGGCAGCGCCGGATGTAAATGCCAAATATTCATAATTCAGCCAATCAGAGGAGCCTGGTAAGTTTTTGCTTTAGATTTTGTGTTTTTTCTGTTGGATAAATGTTTATTGATTGCTAAAAAACCAAAAAGAAAACATCCCAGGGTTTTTCGATGCATCTTCTGCTGTTTCGGTCGCGCCTCTTATTGTGAAGGTCCAGTCCGGAAATGCGGTGCGGGGTAAACGCGGGAAACTTTGCGGTCCGTCCATCTGACAGCTGGGTCAGGCTGTTCGGTTCTCCTCGCTGCTCCTTCATGGACTGAGGAGTCCCTGCAGCAGCGGGTGTCAGAGCCGAACCGAACCGGACCGAACCGAACCGAACCAGCCTCCTCCTCCCCGGTCCGGCCATGGATGAGCAGGCCGGCCCCGCAGTGTTCCTCAGCGGCGGCGGTTCGGGTCCCGGCACCGGGACCGCCAGAGCCCCGCGCCCGCGGACGGAGCCGCGGCCCGGGCTCACTACAGCATCCCGGGGATCCTCCACTTCCTGCAGCACGAGTGGGCCCGGTTCGAGGTGGAGCGGGCCCAGTGGGAGGTGGAGCGGGCCGAGCTCCAGGTGAGACCCGATTCGGCTCGGCTCGACTCGGTTCGGATGTAAATGCCCTAGCGGCGCTTGTTGTGTTGGTGGTTCCGCGGGTGTCGGGCACAGGTGGACCTGCGTGGTTACGTCACATTTTTTACCTGCGGGACAAAACGTCTTAAAAACAACTGGAACCTGGGGCTTCCATTATCGGACACAAGCTGCTCC